CGGCTGGGCAGCGGCCATGCTGCATCTCGGTGGGGCGGGGGCAGGTTACCGCCGCACGGGACCCGAGCCACCAGGGCGAGGAAGAGGATCGAGAGTCGAGGGTCCAGGATCGAAGTCAGGAGCGTTTTCGCGCAATCCTGGGCCTCCTGAGGCATTCTCGTCGCCACAGCTGGGTTGTCTTCGAAGTTCTGGCCAGAACCCCTCCGGACGGAAATTTGGCCTTGGGGAGGGTGCCAAGGTTGCCAAATTGACAACGCAGTCCCCCGGAGGTCTAAGTACACTTTAACCGAGGTTTGAGCGGATGTATAGCGAACGCTACATCCGACGCTGTCTTGGCTCAAGACTGCGCAGTCCTATATGCTAGGTGCACTGCCCTGTGTACCTCTATCTGCGGTCATAGCAACGTACAAAGGCCACGACCGTCTATGATCCACCTCACCTCCCGATCCCATGGCTTCTCTCTTACCTTTCGCGTTGCTTGCCATCAAGGGATGAGTTGCGGGGCGCCTCAAAACGTCACCGATTTTATCCTAAGGGTACGGTTCTCAGCTTGTTACATAGTGGTCAAGCCCTGTACCCTGTACTCTTCAATGTGTAGCGGACCTGGCTACATCTTCATGTGGCTGGCTCTTACATCAGGTGTTATGTACATAGCAGCTTACCACGACACAGTGGAATACCCGACTGCGCCAGCTCTCATCCGAGACGCTCCCAATACTCTTTAAGAAACTGGCAACTTACAGTCCTACACCTCCATGCCCCCATCGCGTGGCCACACGCCACGCACGACCCAAGCACCGATACCTATCCGAAAGCTGACGGCCACGCCAAACCAGACACCCAGTCGCAACCCTACGGACGCTACAGTATCCAACAATACGCAACTTAAAAACACCAGATACAACATGACCATGCACGATGTAAATGTCGCGATGTCTGAAACTGTCTGGGTGTGTGTTACGCCTCGCCGTTGCATACATGCTAGGAGGAGGACTGGATGAAACACGCACTCGGGGTCTCAGTTCTGGGACCCCGCAGGTAACGCACCCATTCCGCGATGTTGTTCGCGAGGTACACGCATGTTTTAGCGCCACGAGCGGAAATATTCTTCCACCCCAACGGGCAGTTGTATTACAGCGCGACCTAGGGGGATTGGTTAGGACGCTAGCCATGAGGGTGCCGCTCGCCATCGCTAATTTCGGTGTCACAGTGCAGGGGGGACGCACCGATTGAGTCACATACACCATGTACCTACTAAGCACCAAAGTTCAAAACCTTGAGGATGAGCTCACCTCAGGGACAGGCCTCATCGACTTCAGAATCGACAGAGGTGAGTGTATCGATTGACTACTGGCCCGCCGAGCGCCCCTTCGGAAACATCGGGAGCATTTCCAGCGGACGCAACGCTGGCACTCACCACGCCGAAATAAGCGACACACCGTCATCCATGCCGAACAGCATCTGGAATAACGGAGAGCCGGCCCAGTGAGTCCACGACGCTAGGCCAAGACGCCCTCAACAACAACGAACCGGCGTCAGGTTCAAACATGGGTTGGCCGTCAGCGGCCTTTTACACACCACCTGACGCGGCTACCCTCTAGGGCTCACCCATCCAACAAGATGACGACGTACTTGATTCTGGTACGGATATCGATGCTGTCTTCTCTACCGGCGCCGGAAATTTCAATTTGTCAGATTTGCCTGCCGGTGATGGCGCAGCTACGCAATCTTCAGACCTAGGCTATCATCGCGCCAAAAGAAGATGGAGCCGCCTAACAAAAGCAGTTTGGAGGCTCAGGCGGGCCGCGCGTCGCGTCTTCCCCCGTAGAGGAAAGGGCAGCGGCAGAGGTAGCAGACGCACCCGCTCATTGCATAGCAATGGCATCGCCACGTTCTTGGCTCGATTGACCGACTACGTCATTGAAGACCTAATCCTAGGATGTAAAGGTCGAGGCTACGGTCGTAGGCATACAGCAGGTAAGGGCAAGGGACGTAGGCTTCATCCAATGGATAAGGATGGAAGAAAGGATGACGTGCAACGCCTGTGGGAGCGACAAACATCTCCAAGCACAGTGCCTCGAGGGAGGCGGGAAAAAAGGCGGCGGATCCGTAGTTCTTGGCTCAGAGCACTCCGAAGCGGATATCATTGACTGCGTTGTCTTTCCCGAATTCGACAAACCTTTCTACTCTCAAACCAGTTCTGCTTGGTTTTGATGGCCCACTTTGCCAACGCTGCCATGTCGGTAGAGCGCTGCACCGAGTGCCTTCACGACGGGGGTGGGGAGCTCTACGACGCCCCCATCGAGGACTGGGTCGGCACGCGCTGGCGCGGACACGCGCAGGAAGATTCCGACGACGACGACGACGACGAAGGCGATTGCATGTCCGACGCGGAGACCGTACCCGCCACCGACGCTGAAATAATGGAGCAGTTCGGACACGGGCAGACACGCCTCCACCCGCTCCCAGCCCCGACGGCGTTTGGACTCTCGGAGGAGGAGCGGGCTGCAGTGGGATGGGGACAGACCCAAGCCAACGCATGTTTGATGTGGGGTAAATCTGGGAAAGCCCCGATCGGCTCGGGCGGCCCCTACAAGGGCGACGACGGGAGCAGTCGCTGCGGCCGCAGCTCGGCGGCCCGCCACGCAGCAGGCGTGCCAGGTAACCCGGACAGGGGCGGCCCTGGTCGCGGCCGCAGCGGCTCTCGCGGTGCCGGCGTTTCCAACGGCAAAGGCTGCGCTCAGTCAGCCGAGCTTGTGTGCGGTGCGAGCTCCAGCCATGCAGGCTGGGAAAAGGAGCGCGCCGCCTTTGGCAAGGGGCGCGCCAATGTCTTTCGACGACCAGGGCCCGCGCGCAGAGATCGGCGAAGCCGGCGTGAGCGATTTCATCGAGCAGGGCCGCGCAGTGGCACAGATTCGCCACTGGTTGTCTTTAAAGCATGGTGTTATCCGCGACGAGAGGGGCCGCGCCATCAAAGCGCCCGAACCTCGCGGCAGGGGCAGCGACGAAAAGCAGGCATTCATGCGAGACCCGATCAAGGCTCGCAGGGAACATCGCATATGCCCTTGCCCGGCTCACAGTCAGCATCGTCGGAGCTGCCCGATTGACCGCCCATCTCGCTGCCCCCATCATGGACAGAGTCCTTGGATCCTCGATCGCGCAGATGGCGCGGGCGGACGGGCGGCCGCGCCCATCGGTGGTTATATCCCATTCACCGACGCGGAAGCTCAAAAAACATATGAAACATTGGAAAAGTTTGACGATAATCACAGTCTCAACGTCTTCAACGCGGACTGACGTCACCGACATCCGGAGGATTACCCCGCTGACGATAGTGGCGACAGTGGCGACAGTGACGATAGTGCCCCCAGTATCCCCCGCCATCGCGAGCTGAACGCGACGGGTCAGATCACCAGTAGTTCTAGGACCGAGGTCCCCGCGCCCTCTCCAGCATCGACCCGGGCGGCGGACGAGAAGATGGGGGCGGGCAGGGCGAGCGGCCTTGTGAACCCGCTTCACTTGCCGAGTCCTGCTCGGGAGGTTCCCCAATTTCGGGGGGGGCGAGAACAGGGGCAATACCGAGGGCAAGAATGAGGGCCAGTTGGCGCGCGGGTGAAGGGTGACCACCTTCTGAAATTGCGAATGTGCGCCATATGTTCCGGGTTGTTCCCAGTGGTGCAGCGGCGTTTGTGGCGCGTTCGCGCCCCACTCCGCGGGATGGGCGCAGGTCCAAGGTTTTGCATCCCATTGGGCGCTGCGAGAAGCGCGCCGGGATATTCAGAGTTTTTGGATCGGCGGCATTCAGTGGGCGGGGATGAGGGGTGGCGGAGGAGGGGGAGCAAGAAGAGCATGTCTCTGGGCGACTGTTCTTGGATCGGCGGCTTTCAGCGGGCGGGGATGAGGAGGTGTCGGAGGAGTGAGAGCAAGACAAGCCTGGCTCTGGGAAAGTTGGGCACACTGTCGTTCGACAGGGTTGTTTCCCGTGTTGCGCGTGATTACGCGCATCGGTCTGAATGCCAGCAGTCGCCTTCGACCCGATTGGCTTTGTGTATGCTCCCAAATGCATGCCGCGTATCCGGGAAATTTTCCCCAGGGAACATCCACCATCGTGACGTCGAAACGAAAATGAATCGCTTGTGTCGGCCCCGCGGGAACCGCGTTGGGGATGCATTGCGCGTTGCGGGCATGTTTGGGTGCATAGTTGGTTCCAGGGAAGAAGTGTCGGGACTTCGGGGCTTCGGGGACCACGCTTATAATTTGAAATGGCGTCGCTTGTTGGGGTCTCCACCGCTGCCGTTACCGCAAGCGCTTCCAACGCTCTTTCGGTGCCTTTAGAGCCTTCTTGGCGCCCTCGAAGGGCCCTTTCGGTCATCCGATGCCGTGTTGGAGGGCCCCGAAATGGTTCCCAGAAAGTACGAGGCGAAGCCCAAGTGATTGCAGTTCGTTTTTAGGGACACTGCCGCCTATTCGGCCACTCTTGGGGTCCTCGTGGAACCGCGCTGGGAGCCTTAACCGGCCTTCCCTTGCAACTGACCGCCGCACTCTCCTTAGACATCGAAGGATTCAGGTCAGGCTCTGGTCAACGCCTATTAGCCAAGGAGTGCACGCAACAGGCATCCCCCCAAAGGTGAAGATGACTCGCGGAAGTTCCTTGAGGGGTTACTGCCAGGGGCTTCAGCTCGCGCGGAGGCCTTCAACGCGAGGGCTCGCGCAGGGATCGGGGCGGTGGCACACGTCCCTCCCCCTTCCTCCTCCCCTCCCCCTCCTCCCTCTTTGCGAGCTCAGTGGGGTGCTCGGTGCAAAATTCCGCCCTCCTAGAATCCTGTCCCGTCCCTCCTCGCCCCTCGCTCCCCTCCCCCCCCCCCTCCCTCCCATCGGCGGCGTGGCGGGGGGGGAAGTGAGAAGGGGCGGGCCTTCGCAGAAGGCTCGGAAGTCCCAGGCCTTCCCCGAAGACACGGAAACCTTCTCAGAAGGCCGGAGGGACTCTGAGAAGCCCCGCGGCCTTCTGGGAAGGCCTTCTCCTCCTCGCTTCCCCGCCCCCGCCCCCGGCTCGCCGCCGATCCCAGCCCCCCCGCGGGGCGGGGAGCGGCCGGGGCCCGAGGGCACGCTCGAAGCCGTCACGACGGCCGAGAGCCTCATCCACGACATCGTCAAGAGCGCGGTGCGCCGCGGCCGGCGCGGTCGTCGTCGTCGTCGCCGGCCTTTCGCCGTCACCGTGGGCTCTCGGGCGCTCTGTGGGGCCTCGAGAGCCTCCCGGGGGTCGTCGGTCGTCGTGGGCGCAGTTGTCGCCCTCGTCCTCGCTTTCGCCCTCGCTGTGGGCTTTCGGACGGTTTCGGGAGGCCTCGGAGGCGGGAGGCCTCCAGGGGCTGTCGCCGTCGTTTTCGGCGCGGTCGTCGTCGTCGTCGTCGGCTTCGGACGTGTTTGAGCTTCCGGTGGCCTCCAGAGGTCGTCGGCGGCTGCGATCGTGGAGGTGGGGGCTGGGGGAGGTAGAGGAGGCGGAGAGAGGAGGAGGGAGGACGGAGGAGGATGTGAAGGAATGGAGGAGGACGAGGAGGACGAGGAGGAGGACGAGGAGGAGGAGGAGGACGAGGAGGAGGAGGAGGAGGAGTCGGAGGGGCGCCAGCCTGTATAAAGGCCTGGGCGGTTTCAGCGTTTTTTTCCCAAAGCTTCTCTCTTCGCTTCTTCGCTCTCCAATATTTCTCCACCGCTCCCCTCAATGCAGTTGCATTGGCTGAAGCTTTCATCCTCCTCGGTGTTTGCCTATTCCGTATCCTCCACCTCTTCTTTTTCCTTCTCCTCCTCCCCGTCCCTCCCCTTTCATCTTCCTCGCCCTCTTCATCGGAGAAGGGATTGAAAGAGGAGGATGGGTGAGGAGGAGGAGGAGCAGGAGGAACAGGAGGAGGAGGAGGAGAAGGACGAGGAGGAGGAGCAGAAGGAGGAGCAGGTGAGCTGGAGGAGGAGGAGCAGGAGCAGGAGCAGGAGCAGGAGCAGGAGCAGGAGCAGGGAGAGGAGGAGGATGAGGAGGAGGATGAGGAGGAGGAGAAGGAGGAGGAGGATGATGATGATGAGGAGGAGGAGGAAGAGGAGGAGGAGCAGGAGGAGGAGGAGAGGGAAAGGAGGAGGAGGAGCAGGAGGAGGAGATGGAGGAGGAGGAGCTTGAGGAGCAGAATGATGATGATGCTGATGATTATGATGATGAGGAGGAGGAGGAATAGGAGGAGGAATAGGAGGAGAAGGAGGAGGAGGAGGTGGAGGAGGAGAAGGAGGAGGAAGAGGAGGAGCAGGAGGAGGACGAGGAGGAGGAGGAACAGTAGAAGGAGAAGGAGCTGGAGGAGGAAGAAGAGGATGATAATGATGAGGAGAAGCAGGAGGAGGAGGACGAAGAGGAGGAGGGGGAGGAGGAGAATGAGGTGGACGAGGATGAGGAGCAGGATGAGGAGGAATAGGAGGAGGATGAGTATGAGTATGAAGATCAGGATGGCGATGCAGATGGTGATGAGGTTGCTGATGAGGATGCTGAAGATCATGCTGCTGCTGACGATGATGATGATGCTGATGATGGTGATGATGATAATGCTGCTGATGTTGACGAGGATGCTGATGATGACGATGATGATGCTGATGATCATGATGATGCTGATGCGGCTGCTGATGAGGATGATGACGAGGATGATGGTGATGAGAATGATGATGCTGCTGATACTGAGTATGATAACAAGGCAGATGATGTTGATGATGCTGATGCTGCTGATGATGATGCTGATGATGATGCCGATGGAGAAGATGAGGCATACTAGGTGGATGAGGAAGAGGAGCAGAAGGAGGAGGAGGAACAGGAACAAACACATGAGCAGGAACAGGAACAGTAGCATGAGGTAGAGGAGTAGGTGAAGGCGGATGAGGATGAGGAGGAGGAGGAGGAGGAGGAGGAGGAGGGGAGGAGGAGGAGGAGGAGGATGACGAGGACTACGAGGAATCTGAGGAGGAGAAGGAGGGACGATGAGGAGGAGGAGGAGGAGGAGGAGGAGGAGGAGGGACGATGAGGAGGAGGAGGAGGAAGGAAGAGGAGGAGGAGGATCAGGAGGAGGAGCAGGAGGAGCAGGATCAGGAGGTGGAGGAGGAGGAGGATGAAGAGGATGCGAAGGAGGAGGAGGAGGAGCAGGAGGAGGATGGTGAGCCCGAACACGATGATGATGCGGCTGATGATGATTCTTACGACGATGATGGTGCTGCTGCTGATGATGATTATGCTGACGATGCTGATGGTGATGACGATGCTGCTGATGATGAGGATGCTGCTGCTGATGATGATGATGATGATGATGATGATGATGATGATGATGATGATGATGATGATGATGATGTTGATGATGATGCTGCTGAGGTTGATTATGCTGATGATGATGAGGAGGCGGAGGAGGAACACGAGGAGGATGAGGGGGGGAATGCGGATATATCGGAGAAGGCGGAGGCGGAGGCGGAGGAGGAGGAGGAGGATGGGGAGGAGACGGATGGGGAAGAGGATGAAGAGCAGGAGGAGGAGGAGGAGGCGGATGAGCACGAACAGGATAATGATAATGATGTTGATGATGGGGACGCTAATGCTGATGCTGCTTATGCTGCTGATGCTTACGATGATGCCGATGCTGATGTTGATAGTGATGCTAATGCTGATCGTGAGTATGAAGAGGAGGAGCAGGAGGAGAAGGAGGATACTGAGGAGAAGGAGAAGGAGGAGCAAGAGGATGGGGAGGAGGAGGAGGTGGTGGAGGTGGAGGAGGGGGATGGCGAGGAGGAGGAGGAGGAGGCGGAGGAGGAGCAGGCGCAGGACAAGGATGATATATAGTGAGGAAGATGCTGATGATGATGATGCTGATGCTGATGCTGATGCTGCTGCTGTTGCTGCTGATGCTGATGCTGAGGAGGATGAGGAGGAGGCGGAGCATGCGGAGCAGAAGAAGGACGACGAAGAGGAGTAAGACGGGACTGGTGCTGAGGATGATGATGACGATGCGGATGAGGAGGAGCAGGATCAGGAGGATGCTGAGGAGGAGGAAGAGGAGGCGGAGGAGGAGGAGGAGTAGGACGCAGCGGATGAGGAGGCGGATGGGGAGGACGATGCGCATGAAGCTGCTGCTGTTGCTGCTGATGATGATGAGACGGAGGAGGCGGAGGAAGGGTGAGGTTGATGAGAATAACATTGATTACTATGATGATGATGGTGACGATGATGATACTGATGATGCTGATGATGTTGGTGATGATTATGTTGATGAGGATGCTGATGCTGCTGATGATGATGATGATGATGATGATGTCGCTACTGCGGCTGATGATGTTGATGATGGTGATGAGGGTGGAGATGAGGGGGAGGACGATGATGCTGCTGCGGCTGCTGCTGATGACGATGCTGGTGATGATGATGACGAGGAGGAGGAGGAGGAGGAGGAGGAGGAGGAGGAGGAGGAGGAGGAGGAGGAGGGGGGGGAGGAGGAGAAAGAGGAAGAGGACGAGAAGGAGGAGGAGGATGAAGAGGAGGGGGAGAAGGAGCAGGAGGAGCAGAATGAACAGACGGAGCAGACGGAGGAGGAGGAGGATGAAGACGAGGATGAGGAGGATGAGGAGGCGGAAGACGAGGCAGGGGAACATGGTCATAATGAATCTGAGGAGGCTGAGGAGCAGGACGAGGAAGAGGAGGAGGAGGAGGAGGAGGAAAGCGAGGATACTGATGATGATGCGGCTGCTAGGGATGACGCGGACGCTGATGCTGATGGTAATGATGATGCGGCTGCTGCTGCTGATGATGCTGATGATGATGATGCTGATGATGATGATGACGACGATGATGATGATGATGATGATGATGATGATGATGATGATGATGATGATGATGATGATGATGATGATGATGATAAGGAGGCGGAGGAGGATGAACAAGAGGGACACGACGAGCAGGAGGAGCAGGATGAGCGGGAGGAGTGAGAGGAGCAGACACACGCGCAGGAGAAACAGGGTGAGTAGGAGGAGGATGAGGAGGGGAAGATGAGCAGGAGCAGGAGCAGGGGCAGGAGGATGAGGAGGCGGATGCGGACGAGGAGGAGGAAGACGAGGAGGATGAGGATGAAACGGCGACGACGACGACGACGACGACGACGACGACGACGACGACGACGATGATGATGATGATGATGATGATGATGATGATGATGACCATGATGAGGATGGCGATGATGATGAGGATGATGATGATGATGATGATGATGATGATGATGATGATGATGATGATGGGGAGGCGGATGGAGAGGACGAGGCGCATGATGATGATGCGGATGCTGCTGATGATGATGCTGATGATACTGATGCTGATGCTGGTGATGACGATTGCGATGCCGCTGCTGATGCTGATACTGCTGCCGATGATGCTGATGATGATGATGCTGCTGCTGATGTCGGTGATGCGTCTGATACGGATGCTGTTGCTGATGCTGTTGGTGATTATCTGATTACGATGATGGTGGGCCTGCTGACGCTGCTGCTGATGACGACGATGCTGATGCGGATGCTGCTGCTGCTGCTGCTGATGATGATGATGATGATGATGATGATGATGATGATGCTGGCGATGCTGATGATGCTGATGATGACGATGATGCTGATGATGATGCGGGTGGGGGTGATGATGATGCTGCTGATGCTGATGATGCGGAGGAGGCCGATGCGGACGCTGATGCTGATGCTGATGATGTTGATGCTGCTGCCGATGATGAGGATGATATGTTGATGATGATGATGATGATGATGGTGCTGCGGATGATGATGTTTGGCATCACGATGCGGATGATGATGATGCTGCTGCTGATGATGACGATGATGATGCGGCTGCTGATGATGTTGTTGGTAATGTGATGTTGATGATGATGCTGGTGCAGATGCTGTGGATGTAAATAATGTAACTGATGCTGATGAGGGTGAGGACGATGTTGATGATGCTGATACCGATGATGTTGCCGATGACTATGATGCTGGTGACACTGGTGATGATGACTATGCTGCTGCTGCTGCTGCTGCTGATGATGATGATGATGATGATGATGATGATGATGATGATGGTACTGATGCTGACGATGATGGGGAGGCGGACGATAAGGAAGAGGAGGAGGA